TTATCAAGCAAGCTTATAAGTACACATTTTGAAAAACTGTTCGCAATATTTCTGAAGGAAACAAAACAATACAAATTCAGTATACTGAATCCAAGAAGAAATACCCACTTGAAACAGGAAAGGAATAATGAAACAGAAGATACAAAACCAAATTTAAAATAAATATTTGAGCATTTTAAATAATTCAAAACATGTACATCTCCTACTTTATAAGCTGAATACCAGGAGAAGCAAGGGGGAAACTAATTTTTTAAGAAAACAGTGTTAGCCAAATGGAAATCTTTAATATTGAGCCACTTTGGCTTTAAACAAGGTATACTAAACTGTCAGTACAGAAAACTCATCCACTTTGTGCTTTATTAAGACATGGGAAGGCAATAAACCTTGAAACAGAGCACCTGTCTGCAAGTAATAGTAAATCAAACTACTAATATTAAAAAGTGTTTCAGTAACTCTGCATAAAAAAAGATAGACCTAGAGGACAAGCAAGCATCATACTACTAAAATGTCTGCATGAATAAGCTGACTTTCTTTTCGACGGCAGCAAATGATTTGAAGGCGCTATAAAATATACAGTCACATTTCAGATATTGGCAAGATTTAAAGTCTTTGGATCTGAAAAGTCTGATGTCAAGTTAGCTTAGAGTTTCAGGTTCCTCTGATAAGGGAATATCATATGCCATTTTCTCGCATTATGACATTTTTCTGTTTCTTACAGTAAAATTGCTGCTTATAGACAATGCCTCCTGTTCTTTCATTTTGAAGTAGCAAATGCTACTTAAAATGCAGCAACTCTAATATTCTCGTAAGTGTATTTTTACAGTGTAAAAGTTTCTTACTTTTACATACTTCTTTTTACATATTATTCTACATTTTAACAAATGATAAACTTTCCACCTACACGTGGCAGTAGTAGCTGTGTGCAGGCTAATAAAAATCAACATAAAAACAAAATCATGGAACAGTTAACTTTTTTGAAATATTAGGATTGGTGAAGTTATGAGTGGTTGAAAACAGAGGTGGAAAGAAAAAAGCATTAAGTGTATTAACTACAGCTACTTTTAGTATTATAGGACTATAATCCTGAATCATCCAGACCTGCATATCACATTGCCAGATTGCACTTTGTATGAAAAGAAAGAGCATCTGGTGAAGAGAAGCAGTTTGCGCTTGCAGCCCAGAAAGCCAACCATGTCCTGGGCTGCATCAAAAGAGGAGTGACCAGCAGGTTGAGGGAGGTGATCCTGCCCCTCTACTCTGCTCTTGTCAGACCCCACCTGGAGTACCGCGTCCAGCTCTGGGGGCCCCAGTACAAGAAAGACATGGAGCTGTTGGAGCGAGTCCAGAGGAGGGCCACAAAGCTGATCAGAGGGCTGGAGCACCTCTCCTATGAGGACAGGCTGAGAGAGTTGGGATTGTTCAGCCTGGAGAAAAGGCGGCTCCGGGGAAATCTAATTGTGGCTTACCAGTACCTGAAGGGGCCTACAGGAAAGATGGTGAGGGACTGTTTATCAGGGAGTGTAGTGACAGGACAAGGGGTAATGGTTTTAAGCTGAAGGAGGGTCGATTTAGATTAGATGTTAGAAAGAAATTCTTTACTATGAGGGTGGTGAGGCACTGGAACAGGTTGCCCAGAGAG